CAGACTGATACAATCGTCATTCTAATTAATTGATATAAAAAAATTCACGAATCAAACAAATTCGAGGAAGAAGCAATAAAATACTTATTTGCTCTGTTCTTTAGGTGGTTCTCTTTTGCTGTTTAACGATGTTACCGCATTTTTTGTATGGTCCCGGAGAAGATGCTCTTCTACTCACAAAAGAATATGGGGCGAAGCCACAGATTGCAAATTCGAGTCATATACCTGATAAATATCGGAAGTTCTTATGTTTCGGGAACGAAAGCCGAGAAAACGAATGCGAGGACGCTGATGGAAATTTCGCGCCTCAAGTGTTGCTGTTTATAGCACAACTGGTATCAGGAGTCGGTGGCTCATTATATTATACTTTAGGAGTATCCTACATGGACGACAATATACAAAAATCAAAGACACCAGCGTTGATCAGTTTTTCGTACTTTTTAAGAATGTTGGGACCGGCTATTGGTTATGGTTTGGCTTCGTTTTCCCTGAAATTCTACATTAGTCCTTCGTTGACGCCAACAATTACAACGCAGGATCCAAGGTATGCTAAATAATAGCTTGTTTAACTTCGAATTCAGAATAAGTTCGGGAAGACGCGTAGTTAAAAATATGTTAGATTTTTTTTTTCTCTCTGATAGAAAATAAATCGACTGACAGAGAATAGTAAAAAAGATTGTTTAACAAAATTTTGCTAAAAGAAATTTAAAATAAATTATATAAAAACAAATTGATTGTTCGAAGCGCGTTGAATTATTTAATTTTATTTTAAATCTATAGATTTGTTATAAAAGAATTAAATTGAGGGAAACTGATTACTAAATGAAAATAAGAAATTATTTCTTGCGAATTGACTATTTAACGAATGTTTTCACTTTTTAAAGTAATTAAATTTTCTTCTTTAATTTTATTGACCATTTATCACAATATATTGACCATTATAACAGCCGAGTATTCTCGAATTTTTTTATCGATATTTTGTTTTCCATTAAAACTCCTAGAATTTCAATTGTAACTCTCAGAAACACATTACTCAGAAGATCCGTTCAAGAAAGTGAACTTATTAATTTTTCCGAAACGCTAACAGGTGGTTAGGTGCCTGGTGGCTCGGTTGGATCATCCTGGCCATCCTTCTCTTTGTCTTCGCGAGCATCATTGCGCTTTTCCCTAAAACGTTGCCCCGAGCCGCAGCTCGTAAAGCTTTAGCCCTGGAGCGAAATAAATCGGCAACCAGCATAAAAGAGGATGAAGAACCAGAGTTGCCCGCCTCCTTCTCAGACATGATGAGGACATTTAAAAGGCTTTTGACAAACATCACTTTAATGTGCAATAATCTGGCAACCGTTTTCTATTTCATGGGATATATGCCGTACTGGATCTTCATGCCGAAATACATCGAAACCCAATACAAACAATCAGCCTCCGTTTCCTCGTTGATTACTGGAACAGTCGGTTTGGTCTTCAGCGCCTTTGGAATTCTTCTGTCAGGGCTAATTATCTCCAAGTACAAACCGAAGGCTAGGTATTTGGCCGCGTGGAACGTGATGGTAGGAGCTATATCGGTCGTGGGGATGATTTCTTACGCGTTCCTCGGCTGTTCCGCTAACGATAACCAAATTACGGTTCAATCAGACGGAGCTCTGAAGACTCTGCTACCGTGTAACGAACAATGTCACTGCGATTACGTTACTTATAATCCTGTCTGTTCGGAGCATGGTCAGACGTTCATTTCTGCATGTCACGCCGGATGCCGTAATATGAAGGTATTTTATAAATTTAATCTTTCTACTGGTATTATTATTGGGCCTTTGGAAAGTATGACGATTGAAATATACCACCGCAGTGTTAGAATTTTTGATTTAATTGAATTTTATTGCTTTAACCTCTGTCACGGAGGACATAGAGTAAAAAAGTAAAATTGAAAACTCTGAATTTTAGGAATCTGATATAAATTCGACTACTGGGATTAGATTAATATTCTTATTGAAAGCTTTTGTTATATCACGATCGGTTATATCTTTTTTACGATTTTATTTAAGATTCGAAATTGTGAATATAATTTAAGACTATAATTTAAGAGCGGAGAACAAGAAATGCGACAAGATACGTTTTAACGAGAACACGATTTAATGGATTATATTTTTCATAGTAAAAAGTATGTGTTCTTGTTAGATGCTTCAAAAGTAATTGTTATATATTATTTTAATTTGTCTAAAAGTTATATTATTTTAATTGGTATTATAAAATAATGGGAAAAGAAAAGTATGCATTTCTATTATTATAAAAATAAAGAACATTGAACTGTTTAATTAATATCCAGATAGTAAAATCTCAATTGTCCGAAATTATTAAGGGCAAAAAGGAACAAATATTCTAAATATACCTATCGCATTATTTTTTATAAAACGATGAAGTAAGTTAATATTAAAAGATATATTCAAAAAAATAGATTGTAAATGAAAATGATAGTGTAATATAAGAATGATACGATGGAAGATATAATATTATTTCATCGAAAACGTAAGGTAATAGGTCAGGAGACCAAGAAAAAATGTAGAGAATCATTTTGTATACGAAAAATGGCTTTTTTATTATTTTTCATATAATGCATACTTATATTGATTAAAGATGGTAAAAATGAAAGAAATATAGGCATTTCTTGTCTCGTTCTTAGATTAATGAAATACATTTCTGAGATATCAAATTTTCGATATCATTTAATATGGACATTTTTTTCTTCAACAATTCAATGATTCAACAATTCAACAGTCTGAGTTACTATCAACAAAATAATACATATGTCGTAGAATCACTAGAAATAGACATTGCTTATCTTTTTTCTTTATTTGAATGAGATCATATTCATATTTCAACTAATTTTAATAATTAGCTAATTTTAGCTTCAATTTAACATCAAATTTTAACAATTTACTAATCTTACTGGCAATAGAAGTACGTAATTGTTATATTTATATGTAATTTTCTTTAGATACAGACGAATGGTAGTAAGATGTACACGGAGTGCAGTTGTATTAAATCAAAATTCGCACGTTTACCATTTTTGTTCGCGAACAACAATTCGATGCACACAACGGAAGATCCGTTCGAGAGTCCAGAACCTAGTGGTTCAATTCCTTTGGGTACTGCAGTACCAGGAGCATGTCCTGTAGATTGCATGCACAAATTTTACATTTTTCTGGCTGTGGTTTGTCTGCTGAAGTTCAGTGGAGCTACTGGAAGGGCATCGAACTTTTTAGTTTCCGTTAGATGTGTCGATGAGAAGGATAAAACAGTGGCCATGGGTTTCGGATTAACTATTATGAGCTTATTTGCATTCATACCGTCTCCTATTTTGTTTGGATTTATTTTAGGTAAGAGAATTAATTAAAACTAATATTAGTTAGTAATACTTGTAATATAAATAATATCTATTATTATACAATATCTATTATAGTATAATACAGTATACGAGTATATTACATTACATTGCTGTACTATAATATATACTTTGATGTAATATAATAGAAACAGTAGTAGCTAGTAATAATATAATATTGGGTATTCTATAATATTACAATATTATGGAATGGCATATATAATATAAATAATATTATTATGTTAATAGACGCTAGCTTATAATATTAGTATTAACTAGTTATTATATGCTATAATTATATAATTATACTATAATTATATGCTAATTATAATACTGTTATATGCTAGTTATGCTGGTAATACAGTGGCTAATAATGCTAGTTATATTACTATTACAATGCTAGATAATATTATACTACTATAGAGTATAAGATCTTCTTACTTTGTCAGTATATTTTATGGATATAAATTTTATAAAATTCTATAATATATTATTATATTTAATTACACTAATACAATATATTTAATTTCATAGATTAATTAATATTTAATTGATTAAATATTATATAAATATTATTTTTATCAAAATCTATGTTTAATGTAAATATATATAAACTGAATTTAGTATAAATTATAATGAAAAATAGGAAAGATGAATGGAAAGGTGTTTAGATCAAAATCATTTTTAGAATATTACATTTTTCACAATTTTTAATATAATATTATAAATATAATAATATAGTATTTTACAATAGTAAATTTTATATTGCCTTGAAAAAAAATTTTAAGCTGAAAAATCAGAATGTTTCATCTCTAATAATTTTGAATTTTGTAGAATATTTCATGGAACATTTCTTAGATTATGGTTAATAATTATATTTACCGAACTTCTTTTATAATCTAAAACTTAGAAAAAAAGATAAAAACGCAATTTAAAAATGATATATAAATAATAATCATAAAATATATGAAGAAGAATAAACAAAATGACATCACGATATATTGTTACAACACAGATATTATTCTTGAATTATAGAAATTTAATTTATGACTCTAATTTAGTGAATTTTAAATTGTTATTGTAAGTAATATTTAATTTGCAAGAAATTGAATCATACAATTTAAAGTAATCCCGACTAATTCCATACGATTTAAAATAATGGTTCTATATTTCGTTTATAAATGATCGTTTTCTTATTTAATGTGCGCCTGTCATTTATTCAACTAAAAATTGGACAAATATTTCTACAGATAAAACCTGTCTTGTTTGGGGGAAGACATGTTCGGGTACAGGAAATTGTTGGCTCTATAACGGAGAAACATTGAGATATCTACTAAACTTTACCGCAGCCAGTAAGTTGTCATTTAATTTTGAAAATTTGAATTCAGATTAATTTTTCAAATTTATTTTTATTCTTATTATCCTTTTTAATTTTTTTTTACTGCTTACACTTAGGAATCATATATGTATAAAATCTTAGGAATCTAAAGTTTAATATTATTTAAAAGTCTAGAAAGCCTAAAAATTTAACACTAAATAAGGAGCATATAAAGCATATGTCTTTTTATAAATTTATTCAATGTGAAATTTTAATAAATAAATTATTTTATCAACTCAAAGAGTTAAAGGCATCATGGCCGATCTATGTGACGAAGATTTTATAATAAATTTCTGTTGTCGTTTTTTCAATATTTTAAATTATTTTTTAATGTCTTATTTAACAATAACAAGAATATATGATAAAATAATTCTTCTAAAAGTTATCAAATTTTATTTTTTAATATTATAGTTATAAAAGAGAATTTTAGTGATTTCTTCGTCATTATTTCTTTCATGTAGATTAGAATTTTTAAAATTAAAAAAAAATTGATGTTGACAAAATTAATATTATGATAATGGGTTAACACAAATATTATCTGTTGATCATTACTATGTATAACTGACTATAAGTGTATAACTGACTGACTTACCTTGAGTCATTGATTGATTGACTGCTTATGAATCCTTGACTGAACGATTGATTATGTGAATCTGAATCATTGTGAATCAAAGTCTCCTCTTCAGAATCTTCTCCTAAGGAAATCTTCGTTCTCCCTTTCGAGGATTCTGAAGAGGATAAAATCGTAGAGTAGAGGACGTTAGAGTGTTTAATATAATAAGTGATAATAGGGAGAGTGACTCTCGTGAGACGGCAAGTATAGGGAAAGATCCTGTCACTTTTTGGAAATTATCCCATTGCCTGCATGATATTTTTGATACAAATTTGGTTTATGGCAATTGGTATTGTGTAAAAAATTTCCTCGTATTCGAAACTAACTGAGATTTATGGGATGTAAATTCTTTAAGGGATGCGAAGGATATGTAAAAATTTCTAATCTGAAGCATGTTCATATCATAAACAGT